CTTAATCCTTGTAAATTTTAAAGATTTAGCTAGTAATTATCCTTGGTATTGATAGTCAAAGCATTAGACTGATATCATTGTACATTAGTTTACTTACAAGGGTATACATAATAATGTACTTATTATCGAATATGTGTTGAAATAAGCTCTGAGAATATATTTAATACATCTATCCCTATCGAACATTAATATTTCTTGTTCGAATATATATTCTGTTGAGGAATTTAATGTCGCAGAATGGGGAATTGGGATCCGATGAATGTAAAATCTTTGAATTTGTATATATAATAATACTTTGAAGTAATTGGAGTTGTTGTTCATTGTAGATTAAACTGTAGATGGTCCCAGCTGGATGTGAAGATGATCTGCATTTGATACTGAGATTGTCGACGTGTACATTTTTAATTAAATCACTCACCAAATGTTGGTTGTTCCAGGTCGTACGTGCCGCCAGCCCCGTACTGTTGAGGGTTATAACTTTGGGCGCGTTCCTCGTCTACTGCACGGTGAGTCTTTTCAACCACTAATTACTGGCGTTTGCTTCGCGCGATACTCATTACGTAACGAAGAGCGAAGAGTAGTTCGTGAGGAGGGTCGCCCGGAGGGGGTGGAGGTGACTGCTGTTCTGATTACTGGTGCGGCATTCGACATACAAAAGGGTGAGCGGTGGCAGCGGAGACGCCGGGGGTGTCAGCCAATTGTAATATTTATGAAGGGGGGACCGGGAATTTATGCGATTCCGGAACTTTTTCTAATTGAATCACACACAAAAAAAAACGAATACGACGACGACAAGGAAAAAAAAAAGGAAACCACATCATCCACCGTAAATCACAACTTTTTCTATTTCGCACCATTGTTTTGCGCGAATTATCCCTCGTCATCCATTCCCTTTACTTATTAATGCTACCGCTGCTTTTTTCTTTTGTTCATCTCACACGTGTTAAGACAACATAACTTTTTAAGAAGTTTGTCAAGGAACTTCAAACGTGAGGGACGTAGTTTGCGCTATTTTTTTGCGACTATTCATAAATTCCTACTACACAAGGAAGTTTTCAATTTTTTTTTAAGTTACTAAAATATTATTATGGATAAAACCATAGCATATGCCACTTTCATATGCATTTTATGGATCCGTTCTATTTATTATAGTTTCTGAGAAAATTAGACTTTTCGAGCGATAAAAATCCTAATAAAGCCACAATTCCATTAATTAATTAATATTCCAAATTCAGTTAGAGGACTCAGGTTTTTTGGTCTCTATTGGCAAATTACGTGATTTATATTTTGAATATATGCTTATATGAGATATAGAGTAAGAGAATGTGAGTGTATATATGTATATATATATATATATATGTATATATATATGTATATATATATNTATATATATATGTATATATATATGTATATATATATATATATNTATATATATATATATGGCTGATCAATTGCATATATGATATATATATATATTTATGTATATATATGGAATANTTATATATGTGCNTATATATACATATAGCANANGAATATATAATATATAACTATATGTATATATATATATATTAATAGGGGGAAAAGGGGGTGAATTCTAATATATATATATATTATATGTATGTATGATATATATATATATATATACGTATATATATATAAATATCACATATATACAAATAAATATATATATATATGTATATATATATATATATATATATGTATATATATATGTATATATATATATAGATATATATATATATATGTATTCTGAATTGTGGCGTGTTCAATGAGACATTCATACATGAAAGGTTTTTGTACTTACTATGCAAGTTCGGAGTTTGTAGTTTAGGCAAATGAGTTATGTGGGTGAAAATGTGAAACTAGGGAGAGAAAAAAAAAGAACCACCTGTGATGCAGAACGTCAAAAGCAGCTTTTAGCAGAGATGGAAATGAAATAGGTTGTGGTGATGTTTATTTCCGTTACCATAGGACAACAGGTTTGTCGCTTGTTCGAGCATTGAACGTATACCGCGGTACCTAGTCTGGACAGGTGAAACGGCCGTTCTAAAGGGACTGTCAAAGGGAATTTCCCAGAACCGCATCAGTTGTCCTTTATTTATGTATCCTTGTCTGATCTCATCGATGAAGCAGCAGAATGGAAAAGGTACAAGTAACACAAGTAAAAGAAAACAAAGGGAACGCGGACGTCGTCGATCGATACACCCTCATGCGCGTAATTAAATGGCGGAGCCCTTCTCAACCCCACGAGTTTTCAATTAGCTCGCTTTCACATTTTATTTTTCTCTGCTTGCATTCAAATTAAGTGCTTGAATCAAATATTAATGGAGAGAACGAAAACAATCCCACTCGCAGTTTTTTTTTATCTTTTTTTTACTTATTTAAATCGTTGCTCATTGTGAAATTTTATTCAGTTTACGATGCATATAGCTTTTCATTATTTAACCTCAACATATTAAATGTTGAATATAAAAACAATCATCATCAAGAAGACGAAAAATATCAAGAAAGAACATCGAAAACATTTGTCTTCCATCGCATTGGTTACTGAATATAGGGGTAGTCACATATGTGCCCAAAGAGAGCTGCAATTCGATTTTAATATTTTAAAAAGAGACACATATAGATACACAAATTCCATTTATTTTTATTTAATAAAATTGCATATTTTCATAAGACACATAAAAAATATAATTATGAAAAATAAAAAAACATTGGTAATAAATCTCCTTTTATCATTTATATCCTCCAGATATTTGCTTTCAATCTGGTTTTTCTTTCAAATATATTTAAATCACTTTGTAATTTTTATTACAACATTTAGTTCTCTTTTTTGTATCTACATACACATTAATTAATGAAAAAAATGTAGGATAAATTTATTTGAAATTTCAATTAAATAGTAAAAATTAAATTATCCTTAAACTTACTTCTTTTTTACGATTCGTTATATAATCATAAAGCAAAAGTATTATAGGAAATGAAATAAAAAAAAGGTGCACAATAAAATAATAAAACTTTTATATCCATCTCTATTTAACTCGGATTTGTCATTCTTTTATTTCTTAATAAAATATATATATATAAATATATATAAAAATCGGGGGATGAAATTGAAACATTAGATTCAATCTGAAGTTTGGTCNAGTTTACGAGTATTTTATCGAATTATACTAGAATTTTATGGATATAAAACAAATATTTGCTTGCAATTATTCAAACGATAATATTTATTGTAACCGTTTCGTTCCATTATCTTTCAGTTGAGCAACGCATGGGAATTATATCGTATTTAATTGATTTAAATCATGCGATTATTATTTATGAGTCGAGATCCGTAATTCAGTGTTGGATTAAATGTTGGATTAACGTTTATTACCCGTCGACAATTACCGTCCATGTATTAAACGTAGCTGATCAATTCAAAGACTATTATCATCACGTTTATTAACAATATTAATCACATCGTTTGATATTTATCATTTTGTTTAACAATGAGTTTAACACAATTTCAAGTCAATTGATTTAGTTTTGAAGACATACATTTCAAAGCAAATTTCTGTAATAATACAATTCCAAATCTCTACTTCTATACACTATTATTGTAATTATATAATTCAATTTTCAAAGAGTTAATTTTTTTATCTTCAATTTTGTTTTGTAATGTTTTTTTTAGACTTTCAGTTTGATTATTTATGAATTAGTCTACATAATTGGATTTTCAGTTTTTAGGTTGAAGTGATTGATTTAGTCTTGACATTTTGAGACAAGAAAAGAAATAGTTTTTTTATAATAAATGATGAACAAAATTTAGTTCGTAAAATAAATTCAATATAAAAAGAGTGAATGTTGTTTCCTTTAGGATCATTTATTTTTCTTTTTTAATAGAACAATAGTTAATTGTGCTTGTTTCGAAGTTACGAAACTTTCAGGAAGTGAATACATTTATCAACTGAAGTTTTTTTACCCTTGTTGCAAGATCATCGTCATGTATCCAAGGCCGAGCGTGTACACCTGCACTGCAAGGATCTGGCTTCGAGAGATTGGCTTTTCTTTAACCTACGGAGCTTTGATGTTGAAGACCTGGAGGTGAGTTATGCTGAAAAAGAAATAATAGGTTATGCAATGTTGTAATTTTGTTTAGGATTTCGGTTATTTTTCGCGTCCGCTCCGCCAAGGCTGTCAAAATCACCGATATGAATCTGATGAAGCGTCTGGGAATCATCGTTGCCATCTTCACTGTATTTCTGATGATCAGAACTCTTGTAGCTCCACCGATAGTGATTGTTGGAAGAACTGCTGATGATTTGAAGGCTTACCTGTGCCGCACTGATTGGTGGGACCATTCCTTCAGTATTTGTAAGTAAATTTTCCTAATTTCTCGGTATAATGGTATGAATCTGAATGAAATATTTTTGAAATCGTTAAATGTTTCCATTCACTATAATCCTTGAAGATAATCGAGACAGGAGATAAATCCGTTTTTTTTTTCATTTAGCTCGATCCAATTTATGAAGGAGTTGAACTTCAATACTTAACCAATCTTCTAGGTGTATTTATATCACGTTTGATTGCAGCATCCCCATTGTGATTATATTCCAGCGCAGCAAGTGGATTTCCATAGATTTTTATTTCTGAAGACGGCAGTTCCATTGGATATGTGAATGTATACGACGCAGCCGGAAACCTTCGGAGAAGCTCCGATGAGCTTGGATTTCTTTCTATTTACTCTCTACATCTTCTCCTTTTTCGTTTTTTTTTACCCTCCCAATGCCAGGAAAGCGCAAATCTGTTCAATACTACATCAATGCTGTTGATGCGTTCGCTGAACCCGGTCCATTCGCATTTCAATGTTCCACCCCCTACTACCACCACTACACTACGCTTCATCCCTTATACGATTTCATTAAAATTTATGATGAGGTAGATTGTTCTTTTCCAACGCAATAATGTTTTATCGACGACTCGCGATGCTCCCCTAATTGCAATTCCTAAATTGCTGATATCGCATTCTTACGGTGCCAAAGGATGCAACACGTCTCCAGACCAATTTGACAGTGGAAAAGCTGTATATCAAAAAGGGAATTACTTTCCAACCCGCTGCTCAGGTATAATGAAACTTTTTTTTATAGAAAAATGTTGCTTTTGTTCAAAAGTAAACAAAATGTGTATATTTTTTTGTAGTTTGCATTTTTAAAAAGAGCACTTCAATTTGCATTCCCTGCATTTTTCATCATTTATTTGGAATGTTAAATAAACACGTGCTAAAATAAACACAATTATCGTACATAATATAATGAATACACACTATTATAATTGGATATACTTCTTTTTTTTTATTTTGCCCTTTTCATGTTACATAAAACAAATGAATAATCTGCATACTGATGTTACGATAATAATGTTAGTTTATAGCAATTCGATGAATCTTTGTTTATTTAGAATTTGAAGCGTACTGAAGTCTGGTTTATTTACTTTAAACAAGACGCATCAATTTCTTAGTATGATTAATTTGATACCTGTTTGGTTTTGGAATAAACAATTTAATTATTGATTCATCGACAGGCTTTTAAACATAATATTTAAGGAAACGCAAAAACGTAGGTATAATCAGTTATAGTTGAAAAATTGTTGCGTGATGATGTCTAAGTATTTTGATGTTGCTGAAACCAGCCAAGAAATGTAAGTATTTCAAGATTATAGTAGTTCAAAATAATTATAACTTCTTTACCATTAGTGTTGAAGCTAGTAAAGCAAATCCCGATTCGCAAATGGACATTGTGAAATCTCCGATTGAAAATCTTGATGAGATACATCCACATCCTATTGAAGCTTTCACTAATCATTGCTCATTTGGACAAACTATTGAAAATTTGCCAACTGTTACTGCGAATGTGCAATTACGTGAAAATCCAGGAAGAAGATTTTTACCTTCGAGAAGAAAGGAAACCCTGGAAGTATTCCATTATTGCGAGGTGGAAGACCAACGTAATAAAACAGGTAGTTCACTTATTAAATACAAAGTTACAAGATTTTTTTTTCTAGACGACTGTTGTTGCATAAAGGGACTAAAATTAATAAATGTTTTTTTCCAATACTTATGGACTAAATTCTCCTGGAAAAATTAGATTCTACAAATTACATTCAATTTATCTTCGCAATCACATTTAGTAATACAATTATAAAAATCACAAATATTCAAAGGATATCCATAAATGAGCAACTTTTACACAAATACTCAATTATCTTCAATAATTCACAAATATTTCAAGGATATCTAAAAATTATTAATTTTTTCAAATGTCCTTAATAATATACAAATTTACAAGGGATATCCGAGTAACTTTTAGACTTATTTTTGATAATTGACAAATATTCGAAGGATATCTAAAAATGAGTAACTTTCTCAAAAATCCTTAAAGGACAATTTTAAGGATATCTAGAAGAAAATATTAAACAATATTAATCGCGCTTACATCATCCACGTTAATTGCAAGTTATAATTAAAATCACATAATGTGTCACAATTAATCAACAAATTTAATCTAATTATGCCTCACATTATGAGTGGATTTCGATAAATCCTACCACTAAAGAAGTTTTTAACGAATTTGAATTCACTAACTCGCTGACCACCATTCGAACTACCAGAAGAAAAACTGCTCCGCAAATATGTCAAAAAAAATTAAATTGAACATGAGTTTCTACGACTTTGAAAACATCATCGAAAAGATGTAAGTATTCAATAAGTAATTTCATTATACATTACAATACTAATTATATAATGGTGTTTTTTTCAGCGAAATGGAATACACTAGCAAGGATTTTCGACGTTTAAACAGCAAATCTTCAAGTGGTCGCACTTCGGAATCTTCTGAGGCTGATTATGGTAATATTAATTAACTGAAAAATAGTTTTCTTTTTCATTATTTTGTTTTAGAGAGCACCCAAGAAATTTCGAAGCCAGTTGTTCCTAGATCGAAGGTTAAGAGTAGTTCGAAATGCTGCTGCGAACTTTACAAACTTGAAAATATACATACCAGTGAGTTTGAATCAGGTAACTATAGATCTTCGAAATATTCATAACAAATCTTAATAATATGTTTTATAGAATTTTCTAAGGACTTTAAATGTCCTAGGAAACATAAGAAGGAATTGAGAGAAGTCAGCAATTCCACTCAGAAGAACGCTACAATTTCAGAAACCACTGTTCTTTAAAAAAATATGTACTTAATTTTTTATTGCACCATTAGATTATTTATTATAAATTGAATGTAATTTTTAATTATTATATGAAATAAATATTTTTATATTAACAAAAGTCTTCATATTACACCAAATAATCTCATTCATTGTGGACATTGATAAATACATTACAAATCTATTTTAATCACGAATAATCTAAGTTTTAATTATAATTTATTCAAATTAGTTATCACAATTACTCATTTTTTAATAATCTTCAAATTATATGATTAAAATTGGTGACCAATGGAATTCATTTAAATTTACTTCAGTCAATGAATAAATTTTGTCATACAACCATTAAGAAGCAATACTTCTACAAATCAATAGCAAACCATAACTTCTATTAAAGCTGTTAGAATAACTGTCCAAAAATGTTCCGAAAACCAAAAATGACATCTAAGTTTTATGTGTGGGATGAACTAGAACAACTGTAAGTATTGGTATTAAATTAAAATAATAATAATTCATTAAAAAAATATTCCAGAGAATTAGAACTTACAAATAATAACCCTCAAACCTCAACTGGAGGCTCAAAATTTTATGATGAAGCTTATGCTATTCTTCACTTGGAATCTGAAGATGTTACTACTAAGTCAAGTTTAGCTGCAACTACAAAAGCAAGTACGAGTGAAAACTTAGAACCTAGGCAAATGAACAGTGCTTTTACTGAATTCAAACCATGGCTCTCCAAGGTTATGTGTGACTGTACTAATAAATGTAGTAACTGCGTACAAGATATAGAAGATTTGCACAAAAACAAGCAAGAAACAGGTAATCAATGGTTTTCAAAATATTAAATCATTTTTTTTAATTTAAGAAATGTTACAGGTCCAAAGAAAGGAAGAAATATAAGTAAAGCTTTTAAGAAAACTTTTCAACGCAATCGTCCACAATAGAAGATTTTTTGTATGATATATAAATTTTCAAATAAATTGTATTTCTATAAAGTAATAATGTTATTGAACATATACTGTAAGTTAAATATCTTTAAATTATAAATGTTCCGGTTTACCCATTATCAAATCCATTTTCGTTTCCAATTACTGCAATTCTTTGGTAATTGGAAACTAAAATGAATCAATAATTTAAAAGCCTCGTGTAGGTCAGTCGAATGTACTATTATTACCAATACCCGCCACTCCAAACATCACTTACTTTCAATTAACTTCCGTACACTGAGTTCAAATAAATCGTTTTTCAATGATAATCCTTCATTCCATTAATTCATCATAAAATATTCTCATTATATTACAAATATTTAGTTGATAATTAATTATTAGTCAATAATTAACCGATTTTTTAAGATTGATATTGATGAAAAGTCCTCTATACTGGAGTTTTTATATATATCATACTTATTACTATAAAAAAAAAATAGAATCATTCATAATTTGTTAAATGAAAAAGATGAATCATCAATGGGGATTCCAATTTACAAGCTTTCTGATTGACCAAAGGATTGGAGGAAGGATATTGATAACGTCCACTACTAAAGTGTAGTAAATTCAAATTATTTCATAGTGAGAAACCGCGAAAGCAGAAACATACCTATTACTGTTTAGATAGTTCATGTGAAAAAAAAGGACTCTTAAATTTCTTTGATAAATCTCTAAGTTACAACATTCTGAAAAGATGTAAGTCTTCATCTTTGTACTTATTACTATAAACAAATTAGAATCATTCATAATTTTGTTGGAATAAAAAGGTGACTCATCAATGGGGATTTGAATTTACAAGCTTTCTGATTGGTCAAACGATTGGAGAAGGGATATTGATAACGTCCACTACTGAAAGTGTAGTAAATTCAAATTATTTCATAGTGAGAAACCGCGAAAGCAGAAACATACCTATTACTGTTTAGATAGTTCATGTGAAAAAAAAGGACTCTTAAATTTCTTTGATAAATCTCTAAGTTACAACATTCTGAAAAGATGTAAGTCTTCATCTTTGTACTTATTACTATAAACAAATTAGAATCATTCATAATTTTGTTGGAATAAAAAGGTGACTCATCAATGGGGATTTGAATTTACAAGCTTTCTGATTGGTCAAACGATTGGAGAAGGGATATTGTACGTCCACTACTGAAGTGTAGTAAATTCAAATTATTTCATAGTGAAAAACGCGAAAGCAGAAATATAGCTATTACTGTTTTGATAATTCAACTAAAATAAAGAACTCTAAGTTCCAAGCTTCTGAAGATAGATGTAAGTCTTTATATTTATTTTATAAATTTATGAAAGATACAAAGAATCCAGACTTTGTTCATGTGTCATCCTTTTTACTATAAACAAATTAGAGACATACATAGTTTCTTAAATGAAAACAGATTAATCATCAACTTGTCGGTTTATAATTGGTCAAAACATTAGAGAAGGGGAATTTTTAACTCCCACCACTGACGTGTAATTATTAA